AAAAAATAAAAAACCAAATAAGTAGATAGATAGATTAGGTAGATAGATAGATAGATAGATAGATAGATAATCGATAGACAGCTATATTGATCCAGACTCATTAAAAGACATTCTAAGGGGGGGAGAACAAATCTAAAATCAAGACATGTTTATTCTCAATTTAGAAAAGTGTGTGTTTCAATTCAAATTCAAATATGTGCTAAATATTTGGAGAGAAAATAAGTATAAATCAAATCTTGAGTTTTCCTAATTTCCCAATAATATAGTGTGTGGTGTCCTGGCGTGTAAGGAACCGGAATGCCAAATCAAAGGCAGACAGTTAAAATCCAGCAGCTATTCTATGGGAGAAAGGCGAGCCATCTCCCATGCAAGTTACAGCCTCTGAAAACCCGCTGGAGGGTCAGCTGAGAGTTGGCTGTGACTCGAAGACAATGAGTTGAGGTGAAGGAGTACCAAATGGCATTATTTCACTGATAATGTATGATCATGATTGGGTCTTTTTAAATTTTTTTTCAGCTTTCACATTGAGAGTAGAGGGATATAACAAGGATTCAATCCTTTTATATCAGAGGACTCTTCATCACTGTCTCTTTTGAAAAGAATATTTTAAATCCCATAATAGTTATGTTGTTGTTGTTATTGTTGTTGTTGTTGTTATGTACTGTCGAGTCGTTTACGACTCATAGCGACCCTATGTACAACAGCCCTACACCGTGCTCTATATCTTTGGTTATTTTATCTTCACTTCATTTTAGTTGTTTTGAATGCTTTTGATGTCCTACAAAAGCTCATATTTTTAAAGATTTGGTTAATACTCTTCATATTACAAAAATCTTATAATATTCAGATAAAATATTAATCAGAATAAGAATGGAAGATGTTTTCATAAACTTATTGGTAAAATAATATACAAATATTCTGATTATTTAGAATATCATTACTAACTTTCATTCATAGTGACTGATGTACCGTTAAATTATTGTAAGGGCTGCCTCTGACTTGCACTCCAGTGAGGGCAACCTACTGTACCAACAAGAACAGATCATGGGGGGTCACAGGGCTTGCAGTGGCTGATTTTAGTCTCTGAGTCTGGAAGCTCTGAAATAAACAACATGTTCAGCCTCTACTGTTAATCAGGTGGTGGCTGTGCTTGAGGTACACTGACTGAAAAAGGAACCCAGGGCTCCCACACAGAAGGGAAGATGTCTGCCACCTAACCATCTCTGCTTTCTACTTGTGAGATAGCATGCTGAAAATTTCCATATCACAGCAAAGGTGTACTATGAATTATCTTTAATAAAATCAAAACAAAACAACAATTAAAACTTTCTATGGCTGATTATTTTTTTTTCTCAATCCCAATGCAAACAGGACCACTTCTACCCTGTCCCTCTCCCCAGCCACAATTTCTAGTAGCATACTCAGAAAATAGCAAAAGACAACATTAGCCCTGAGTCAATCTCCATGGACATACAGAAGTGAGAAGGAAGACACACAATGCAGTTTGACGTACCCACAGTCTGAGGAACAACACATATTGGTGGTGAGTCAAGTGAACCTAAAGAGTGATTGACGTGTATCCACAATATATAGGCGGAATACAGAAAGAATGGTTTAAATACGCATTTATAATAACCATCACTCTGCAAATGGCAATCTTTGTGTTCAGATACGGGATGAATTGTTGGGGTTTCAGGACAAGAGACTGGGACCCTTAAAAGGTAAAAAAAAATTAAATTAAAATACAGTATTAATAAATGTTATTAATTTTTGAGACTTACACTTTTGTTGCTAAAAACAGTTTTGTCCTATGTTTAAAATGGATATTTTCATTATGAACTACAATCTTAACTCTATCACAAGTGTATGTTTTTAATAGAAAGAAACAGCAAACTTTATTAAATATAAAACATTAGTATAAGTGGGAATGCAAATGAAATAAAAAACATTGTTCTAACAAGGAGATAATGATCCTGGTAGAACTGACAACACTTTGAAAAATTAAATTAATATGCATAAATGATATAATTTCAAAAGTATAGACAAAAGTAATAATGGGGCATTCTTTAGAATATTACACATTAAATTCCACCACAAATTGAGAAAGTAATTGACAATAAATAACAGATTAACAGAATAGTTCGTGTATATAGAAACCATTAAGTTTTAGGGAAGAAAACATGTTTGTTGAGTTGCAAACAACCGTCTGGCTCAGAACATGCAAACTATTTGTCTTCTTCTTTAAAATAGCTTTCTGTCACTATATGATATCTAAATGAATAAATAGCAGTGACTGACAAATGGAAACTGGGAACACAGGAAAAAAAGAGAAAGAGGGTTGTTATATTGAGAGATTGCAACCTATGTCATAAAATAAATCATGTATAAATTTAGTGGAAAAGTAATATACTTTGTAAATTTACATCCAAATTTCAACTAAAAATAAAAGAGAAAAATGCCCTCTGTACCCTGTAAGCAATGATTTGGCCCATTTCTTCTCCTAATTTTCCCTAGTAACAAAAAACGGTGGCTTCTATTGGGGAGAGAGGAATCTATAATAACTATTTCCATAGAGAGAGAGGTGAAGAGATTAGCAGTAGATAGAAAAATCGAAATCCTCTGACCCTCATTCAATTTGTTATCTCAAGCTTGTTTTCTATTTATTCAAAATTATAATCATGGCTGTGTATAAAGGGATGTGGTCAGAGATATAACTGAGGGATAAGACATATTCTATCTGTTGAAAATAAGAACATCCACTTTATATAGAAGCATCCACTTAGAATCTAAAAGTATCAGCATTATTATCATAACCGCAACCATAATTGAACATTTGCTATGATAAGATTATGTCACTTAATTCTAATCAAACAAAATGTAGCATTTAATTCTCACGGAAATCCTGTTAGTCTTATTTCCGCCCCATGCTCCATTTTACAGATGAATACACTGAAGTTTAGAAAGGTTAAAAATTTGTTCAAGTAAATGTAACTAGTTTCTCAATTCTTCTGTAAAAGTTAGATACATGAGGCATAGAACTTAAGATACTTCCACACAAATAAAAGCCTCAAACATTTCTTTTTTTAAAAACAACTTTTTCTTTTTTTATGTGTGTACCGTCAAATCAGATCTGACAGGTACAGGAGGAGATTGTCCCTCCTTCTTCAGTAGAGCATCTGGTGGATTCGAACGGCGCACCTCTGGGATTGCAGTGCAGCTTCTTGCCACTAGGCCACCAGAGCCCGCCAAACACTTCTTTTTAAATACCTTTTTTTAAAAAAAAATGCAATTGGCATGGATAGAAAAGAAAACCGATTATAATAGTAAAATGGCAGAGTATGAACACAATCTTGATCTAGGATGAAAGTATGTGAGAAATATAGAAAATGCTCTTTTGGTGGGTCAATTAAGAGTAGTAAGTTCTGACTCAACAGCACTAAACAACAATGACCAAATAAGATTAGACTGGCAATCTTGGGAATAAAGTTCAGTATTTTGGGGCAGAAGTCATTTTTGTTGTTTTTTTTTAAAGTACGAGAAAGCTAGATTTTAAGAATAGACAAATATGGGGAGCTGTGGTGGTCTAGTGGCAAGAAGCTGCACTGCAGTCATAGAGGTGCATGGTTCAAATCCACCAGATGCTCTGTTAGAAAAGGAGGAGCAATCTCCTCCTGTGCCAGTCAGATCCAATTTGACTGCATATGCACAAAAAATTAAAAAATGAAAATTTTTTAAAAAAGAATGCACAAATTGTACAAATTGAAAGACTAAAATACAACCATACGCAGGGGGAAAGTGCATGGGAACACTATATATACTTGAAAAATGAATTTTAAAATTTTTTAAAAAATATCTATCTTCTCCTAATCAAGGGCAACATTATTTCAGATAAAACTATGTATAAGGAAGGAAACATTACAGGAAGGTGTATTTTGCCAGTAAATGTTATTCAGTGCCATCAAGTTGACTCACAGCTGACCCGTCAGTGGGTTTTCAGAAGCTGTAAATTACAAGGGAAGAGGCTGCCCATCTTTCTTTCATAGAGGAGCTGGTCGATTCGAACTGCTTGCCCTTGGTTGACAGCACACTGTTTTTCCACTAGCCCACCAGAGTGCCTCGTTTTTAAAATGAAGAATAGCTAGAGATAACATCAATTACTATTCATGAGAATAGGAATTTTCTCCTCTTTCTCAAATGGCCTCACTTAATTCTAAAGCTGACATACTAATTTTCAGTGACTTTCACTGAAAATTATATCAGAGCTCCTCTACTTGCCTAGAACTCTGGAAAGTCATTCAGAGTCTTACAATTTTCCTCTTTCAAAATCCAGGTGTTTGGAAAATTTTAGCCAGATATTATTAGGTTTTTATAATCCTTATTCATCTTTGTATATAATTCAAGTGGATATAAACTAATTTTTTCTTATGTTGGATTTAAGAGCTGAAGCGTGATGATAGAAATTTAATTGATTACCAGAAAAATAATTTTTCTAGGAAATTATACTTCTCTTTCCCCTCAAGTGTGAATTCTTTTCAATATTTTATTTAATCCTCCCATATTTTTCCAATTAAATATAGACTACCTTCATTTTTCAGGAAGAAAATAGGCAAGAATGAAATTACACTGCATTTCTGCACTATAAAACTTTTATCTCACTCTTATCAAATTCAGCAGACTAAAATTGCAAAACTAATACATACCTATGATACCTCATCTGCAAAGAACTTTCTGCAAGTGATTGGATTATATCAGATGACCATCTGCAAGTCATTTTAGTTAAGCGCCCATCAGTTTCACATGATATACTGATGTTGGTATCTATTTAAAACACATTAAAATATTAATGCAGCACAAAATACCGAAAATATTTGAGTACATTTTTCTCACATAATAAATGGGACTCCAAAACAGAATCCGTAATTAAAACATAATTTGTGAACCAAAATGAACAAAACCTCTGTATCCTTACCGATCACGTATAACTCAGCATGGCGATGGGGGCAAGTTCCATTACTACAGCAGTACAATGCATCAAAGTCGAACCATCCTTGACGTTTTGTTGCATTCAAATTGTAAAGAGTAACTTTACTAACATGATCATTGATAGTGTTGTACTGTCTTTCAGGAATTTTGCCAGCCAAATTCAACCACCAAGAAATCTCTTTAGAAGAAACAATCTTGTTTTCCTTTTTATAGATGCAATGAAAAGAAGCATTAGATCCAACACTTTTCAGACTTTTAGGTGGGAAGTATATGATGTCTGTAAAGGGAGGGGGAAAGCAGAATATCAAAAAGACATACAAAAACACCCTTATTTTAAGCAGTTTTTACCATTTAACAAAAGATTCACAATGCATTCCAGGACCATATTTCCAAAACCAAATTGTGCTAAGAGACCAAGTATCTCTGTAGTTCCCTGGTGATGTAAAGTTAATGTCCCTAGTATCTTACAACTTTGCTGAAAATGAAGACTTAAATGAATTACTGATGAAAATCACAAGTACCTTTTGTATTGACTAAATGTGAACATAAATAAAACAAAAATCCTCACAACCAAGCCAGTAAACAATATTATAAAAATAGAGAGCTGGCAGGAGTTGTTGAATAACTCATTATACATGGACCCCAAAATCAACACCCTTGAAAACAGTAGTCAAAAATTCAAGTGAAACATTACAATGGGCAGACCTGTGCTAAAGAGAAAGGATGGCATTTTGACCACTAATATGCTCATGACCTAAACCACAGTATTGCCAGTCACTTCATATTGATGTGATAGTTGGCTAGCTAGAAGGGGCTGTTCCTTGGAAAGAGACCTGATGCTTGGAATGGTGGAGGGTCAGTGAAGGAGAGGAAGACCCTCAACCAGGTGGATTGATACAGTGACTGTAGCAATGGGCTCTTGTGTGTCAGGGAGTGCAACGATGTCACAGGTTAGAACGCGGTTCAGATCCACTGTTCATAGGGTCACTATGAGTCATACAAAACAACACCTAACAACAACCATAACAGCAACAACAACCCCTTGTATACTCAATAAAACATGTTATCATCAGAGATTATGTCAATTGCCTAGTTTCAACTCTTTTTTTTAATTAAATTTTATTAGTTTTAATGAACATTTACAGAGATTTTGGGTTTTCATTCATTCATTGTTGCACTATTTTCTCCACCCTCATACCCAGTTC